CTCAGATTTAAAGAATAAAATAAATACTCTTGAAGAACACAGGCAGATGGAATTGTACAGTTAAGAGCCTGTTGACTTTCCCTATGTTAATGATCTGGTATTCAGGCAATGAAAACAACAGTAAGACTAAACCACAGGAAATACTTAATCATTTCACTTGTATTTAAACCCCTGAGGTCCCTAGTACTGAGAAGAAAACAATGTAATGGGGAAAGACATTTGTTCACAAAGAAAAGCATTCTGGATTTAGTTAGCTAGTTCAATCATGAAGACCTTAAGGATCCTCTTTTGTGCATCGTTGAAAGACAGTTTTGTTTCTTCTTTCTTGCATGCTTTTATGCCCTAGCCAGCAATGTTAGATACTTTCCAAATATATGAGAATCACTGTTGACATTTTCTTTCTAGTTTGTCATTACTTGTCATAGATTATAGAACAGATGCATGTAGGTTAAGAGAATGTGCTAAAATCTTCTCTAAGCACATTGTTATTGTTTCCTTTCTAAATTTTGCAGTGTGATTTATCTTCAGGAAGTGCAAGTTCAACTGTGTAGCATATCTAACTAAATACATACTGTCTATCACCAGAACACAGAAAATTGTTGGGTTTGCTTGCCTATGAGTCAGATTAATGATCTCTTATGAGAGTCTGAAGTGCAGCCAGATGACTTATATGTGAGCAATGCCAGTAATTTCAGGTTCTACTGTCGTGGCTAACTGACAACCCTGTTGCAGAGACCGCTTAGTAATACAGTGGCCTTCCATAAGCAAACCAGGAGCTTGAGATGCTTGCATCCACCTTAGGCAACAAAGTGAAAAAAGGTATAGTTAAATATGTAGTCCCATTCCAGTTCAAAGTGGAATTAGATTATATGTTATGTTTTAGTTTCTGGAATGTAACCCAGAGTGGACACACATGCATCTCTCCAGTGATGTGGCAGAAAGTGACTTTGGGAGTGTTTTTGTCAATAATTTCCCTGGGAGTTGCTTTTTAGTAAATTATGTGACTTTCCTACCTGGATGGAGTGATATGCAAGTTTTAGGTCAGTGGTCTTGTGCAGATGTAAAACAATATGATGTCTTTTCTCCATATACACACTTGCACCCAAGTGGATTTCTTGCAATCTGGGTGAATTTCTTGATGTGCCTAGGCAGAGCATTTTGTATTTTGGCAGAGCATAGACTGTCTTTCTTGTTTATTTAATTTTCTCTTCCCATACTGCAAGGCTTAGTTCATTAGGGGTAGTTTAAAAGACTCTCACGGTTCTGGATAAGCGAGTATGTTTGGCAGGGATTTTGTGGATCATAATTACCTAAAAATCCAATCAGGCCATTTTCTTGATTGATTTGGGGATGAGATATACAGGCTTCAGTGGAGTTAATTGCACCGCTCTATTTTCTTAATCTATATTTTAGCCATCTGACTGCCCCACCCACTTCTTTTGGTACTTTTTTTTTCCCCGTCTCACAAACTAGCATACAAAGACTCTTCTGAGTATATGCTCTGACTATTAATCCCTCCCCCAATAGGTCTTCCAGTGATACTAGTACTGTAATACTCATGTAGCTAAAAAGCATTTTTACAGAAGGATAATTTTAAGTCTCAGAAATGCTGTTGGTCAAGCAGGCAGACTTTCTTGAAAACTGTAAGGAGGTACGTGAATATAAAGTGACACTGATTGTGAATACTGATGATTTCTTGAGGAATTTTCATGACATGAACTCCACGTATAAGGTTTAAGAAAGTATTTTAAATAGCAGTGAAAAAAAAAAAGAGACACCTAAATTACAAAAGCAGGAA